TGCTCATTCCCATGCATGACTTCTCACACCTCTATTGCAGGTTTCTTATCTGCTCTTGTGTCTGACTAGTTGGCTAAGCCATTTTTCAGTGGCTGTGTTCATCTTGCATTGGGAGTTCAGGAAACTTCTTTCTCTCTGAACTATATGACCAGGTCACTACCCAAAACCTTGTTTCCTGGGAGGACTGACTCTCATTCCCATCTTCAAGGCTTACATAAATATACTGAGCGAATATATTTGTAAACCATGTCACATGCTTGGCATCAACTGGTGCATCCCTTTAGGACCTTAGGGAGAGTACTGGTGGGATGGCAATGGTTGGCATGAATGTCTGTTACCTACTCATGGGCTGTGTATTTAGTCTATTTTTCCTATGTTTGATGTCAAGTATACCACTTTTATTTTTAATGGGCTTCTTCAGGCCTGTTCACTTCATATCTTCTTGGAGCACCTTAAGAAATCATTTAAGGATAAATTTGTTTGTCATTGTTGGCCTATCAACACAATAGAAACAGTCCTCTGAAGATTGATGGCATGGTCTGCTTTTAAAACTAGTAATACTGGATTCATGCTTTAGGCTTGCCATAGACTTAATGATCTATCAATACCACTCTTGGTTTAATACTAAAGAGATTAAAATCAGCTTATCACAGATATATTTGTACACTCATGTCTATTGCTACACTATTCATAATAACCAAGCTATGGAACCAATCCAGATATTTTTATCCAAAGAACATTTATTATCTTACAAGCATACATAAACATGGTATGAATGTGTGCAGGCATACACATGTACACATCCACACATGCCATGCCACACACCAAACATAATGGGATTTTACTCAGCTATAAATGAAATTCTTACATCTGTAGGAAAACAAAGGAAACTTTAGATCAATATGTTCAGAGAAGGGAACAGGCTCAGTTATTAAATATTTTCTCTTATATGTGAGATCTAGAATTAAATTTATATATGCATGAGTGTGAATATATGTGGGAAATGGAAATAAAAGGCAAGCATGGAGGAGGGTCTAAACTTTAGAATCTAAAGGACAAGGAGAACAAGACAGAGATGAAATGTGAAAGAAGGCATGACCGGTAGGAAGGAAGGAGACCAGCAAGGGTGGAGGAAGAAGACACCGTGTGTGTGTGTGTGTGTGTGTGTGTGTGTGTGTGTGTGTGAATAAGAGCTAAGTGTTATGATATACAGAGATGCAGTGAAACCCATTGTATGCTAACTTTATAGAATAGGAAAACAGGAAAGTAAGGTGGGAAGGGGCGGGGCTGGGGTGCAGCTCAGTTGTAGAATTCTTACCTAAAGTGTGAAACCTTAGGTTCAATCCCCCAGGATAGCCCCAAATAAATCTGTTTATAGTAAGAAGAATTTAGTCTTTGAAACTCTGATACCAGATGAGTTTCAGAGTTCTGGTCTCCATTCCCTGTTTCTTGTCTTTCCACAGCAGGGACTTAGACTCCTAGTGCTGTCAAAAAGGTCTCTGGCCCTTGGACTCTAATTCTAATTACCAATATTCTTTTTCTTTCTTCCTTCCTTTTCTTTTCTTTTCTTTCTTTTTTTTTTTTTTTTGTTCTTTTCCTATTGTGTCAGTCAAGCTTTGAAATTGTCACTCAATTCCTTTATTTTTATACTTACTTGCCCCATAGTTTTCAATGCTTGCTACAGCTATCACAACACTCACTCCTGCTATAATACGATCTCAGGTCTCTGTTGGTAAAATCTTGAACACTGCTAGGGATTGCTGGTTGTGCTGTATTTATTTAGTGTTTGTTTATTGGTGGTGGTGCTCATTATCAGCCTGATGGTGGTTCATCTTACTCCAAAATCCCACTGCATGAAAACTGGCATGTAGAACACATACTAGGAAGCACTGTTTGTCATTCTGTCTGCTTCTCTCTCCAATGACACATGGTAAATTATTTCACATTGCCACTTAAGTGACCTAAACTGCCTTTATACACTTTAACCTCTGTTCCTCACTTTAGATCATCTCTACTGCCCTTTTACCATGTCAGTGATCATCATTTTTTTCTGCTGCAAATAACTTATGTTCAGACTACCCAAGGGCATTTCTTTCCAGGCATTGGTTTTTGTTATTTTTTTTAAAATCATTCTTGTTTCTCCCTTGTTGCTATTACCTATCAGTTTCATCATGAACAACCTTTCCTCCAATTTGCTAAATTTGCTTGTAACTTCTTAAAGTTCTGTTATCTTAATTTCTATTTCTGCATTCCTTGAGGTCCATATCTGTGTACTAGAGGAATTTGATCAGTGTCACATGCAAACAAATGAAAACTGACATAAATGGAGCCACACAAGCCAAATAATGTCACCACTCATGATGAGTTATAGTCAGAAAAGAGATGGTAATGGTGGTTTGGTCTGAACCAGTAGCTGATATGGATACATATAGATACAAAGTCTTGGGATTTGGAGCATCCTCTAGTACACTGCTAGGGTTAGAGAGGGAGAAAAACATAACAACATTAAATGACAACCTACAATTATACTCTGAATAAAATGGAATGGCTGTTTGTTTAGCTATAACAGGGGAAGGCAAATGTTTAAGATGAAATAAAATCAAGAGTTCTACCTGTCATGTGAGATATCTTCCCAACCCAAGATGTTCAATAGATATTGTTCTATGAGATAGAATTGAAGACAGGGGTGGGGGGTTGGGGTATGTCTGATACCAGTTTAAAGTCAAAGCAGTAAGGATGGTATTTTAAAGCTGGGGTCTTAAGACATGTGACCTTTTGCATATTTAAATGGTTCTCAACATGTGAGTCTGGACCCCCTTGAAGTCACATATCAGATACCCAACATAATAAATATTTACATTACAATTCATAATAGTAGCAAGATTAGTTATGAAGCAACAATGAAAATAGCTCAACACAAAGTGAGTATTAAAGGGTCACAACATTAGGAAGGCTGAGAATGACTGGGCTAGCATTTTAAGCAACAGGAGGAGCATAGAAAAAGAGCCTAAAACTAAGTCCCAGGGAGAAATATGAAGAACACTGCAAAGCATAAAAGAGGGAGCCATTATTGGTTTAAAGAGAAAACTGAACCTAAAGAAAGGTCTAGAGACCTACAAGACTGCCACCAACTAACAATTTGAGCAACTGTCGAAAGGCTACCATAAATGCCCTTCCCAGATAGTGAGATAAACAACAAACTTATCCACCATCATGGAGCCCTCATCTAGTACCTGTTGGAAAAAGAAGCAAACACCCATACCTAAACACTGAGTCGAACTAGAATCCAGACGCAGAGGGAGAGGACAAGACCAGGTTGCAGAAACACATAGAGACAGCTGACCTGAACAAGGAGGAGCTAACGGCCCCCAGACTGATAGCTGGGAATCCAGCATGGGACTATCTCAGGGCCCCCTGAATATGGGTCTCAGCTGGAAGGACTGAGCAGTCAAGACAGTGGAACCAGGATGTATTCCTGGTGCACAAAAGGACATTGCAGACACATCACCCATGGAGGGATACTGCCTTAACCTAGAGACAGGAGAGAAGTCCTAGCCCTACTTCAAATGACTTGACAGATTTACATGATCCCACCTGGATGGCATTGCCCTACATGTGGAATTGGGGTGGGCGGATGGGAGGGGAGGGTGGTCAGTGTGCATGTGAGGGGGCAGAGAGGGTAAGAGGGAGAGAGGGAGGGAGAGGGAACTGGGATTGACATGTAAAATAAAAAATAAAGAGAGAGAGAGAGAGAGAGAGAGAGAGAGAGAGAGAGAGAGCAAAGATAATGGCTTCAAAGAAAGAGTAATCAGGGCTTCAAGTGCTGCTGGTCAATAGAAAAAGCAAGAATCAAATATTTAATGTATTAATTCATGGAGGAGGTTGTTTTGAAAGTGTATTAACATATTAATCAATGCTGCATAATCTAATTTCTTGAGTGGCTCAAAGTTTGAATTCTGATAAAGCTCTTAACTTTTAATCAGCTATGCTCCCGAGAGTCTGAGATCAATGTGAGCATTTTCACAATAGTGGTTTTTGTCATTTAGGATAATTGTATGCTCTGTGTCACTTGAATATCCATTTAGGGGTTCCTATTCACTGGCTCCTCCTGATACCATTTATTTAAGCTGATTTAATCACTATTCTAATGATAGATTGCAGAGAATAATTTATCATTGAAACGCGAATTCATTTCTTTTTCTACCACAGTGAGGTACTGCTTGTCACTGCTACCCCTCACTGAATGTCACTGTGTCCAGCAGATGCGGTGTTATTTATGTTATTTGATATTATAGTGCCACGGAGACTGGATCACTACATTAAGCTGCCAAAAGCTAGACTAGACACAGTAGATACTAAAATTTATTTCTCTAGGGGGTGGGGAAAAAAAGAAAAAAGAGAGAGAAGGAAAACAACCAAAAATACCTTTATACATTTTGTGTATGAATGCACTTTGTGTATTTTTTATAAAGGCCCTTAAGTTTCCTAACCAGAACGAACCATCACTTCCAAATCAGCAGTGTAGCTGAGAAATCTTGTAGAAAAACAAAACAAAACATTTTATAAGGATTACTATCTCGAATCTAAATTCGTACTTCTGTTCATGAGCTCTGTTCATGAGCTCTTCATCCTCAGGATCTGAGGTCAAGGGTCCTGCTCTAATGCTTGCGATCTGTGGTGTCTTGCAGCGCCCATGGGGGCTCCTTTATTGTGAAGGTGATGATTCGTACCACATTAAACAGGAAAACCTTCCGTTTCAGTGAAGTCCCGGTTTTGCTACAAGCCTTCTCAGAAAAAAAAAAAAAAAAAAAAAAAAAAACTAGCGCGAGATAACCCGAGCTCGACTGCAGGTCGGAAAAGGGCAACTTGCAGCCTGGTCTGATCCTGCGCGGAGGCCTGCCACTGCTCTCTTGGCTGTCCCGGGCCACCCCAGCTGCTGTCCCCGCGAGTTGCACGCCACAGGTGACGGGGACCGCGACTGCAGGAGCAGCCCCGGGCGGCGCGGGCGGGTCTCGGGCGTCCAGGGCCCGCCCCTCGGCCTGGCTGGCGCGCGGAGGCGGCGCGCACGCGCGGGGGAACATGGCGGCGGCGGAGCCCTCGGTGGCCGCGCTGGCTGGCGGCGGTGTGGGCGCGGGGGCGCCGTCGGGCGGCGTGCCGGTGCTCTTCTGCTTCTCGGTGTTCGCGCGGCCCGCGTCGGTGCCCCACGGCGCCGGCTACGACGTGCTCATCCAGAAGTTCCTGAGCCTCTATGGCGACCAGCTCGACATGCACCGCAAATTCGTGGTGCAGCTCTTCGCCGAGGAGTGGGGTCAGTACGTGGACCTGCCCAAGGGCTTCGCGGTGAGCGAGCGCTGCAAGCTGCGCCTGGTGCCGCTGCAGATCCAGGTGGGTCCCGCCCTCCCCTCCGCCCAGCCGGGTCCCAGCCGGCCGCTCACGCCCCCACGTGTGTGGTCCCCAGCTCCCCAAGGCTGTGTGCCGCAGCCTCCTGCCTAACCGTGCGGCCGCCGTCGCTCTTACTGCCACGGGGGATGCAGGTCGTGGCAGGTGTTAGCTTCGGGGCTTGTTCCGGGAGTTGTGGTAACCAGTTGCAGAAATGCAAACTTTGCCGCGGCTGCTCCCCTCCTTTCATTTTGGTGACAGTCGGGGTGTCTCCATAGGAAGGGAGCTGCAGTAGCCTTTTAAATAGCCAGCATAATGCTAGCCTGTGAATCCTAGGCTAAGGAAGTTATACCTAAAGATTAGAGTTAGTGAATTTTTATATTGCTAAAAGCTGTCCTGTAACACAGGGCAATCTCTTGTCCTAAGATCTGAGGATTCTTTGGCAAACGTGTGTATGCATTTGAGAGGAAAGGAGGTAGGTGTAACTTAGGCACTACACCATCCATGGTTTTATTGTCTACATGTAGCATTGCTAAGTCTTTTCTCTGGAAGACGAACTGAAATGTGGCATTTGAGGTCAGAAGGAATTTTTATATCCAAGTGTCATTTTGGAAGGTTTATCCCTAATTTTCCTTTATCATCTGTAGTCAGAGATAGGCTGGGTGGTGCCATCCCTTCCCCCACATCTATGGATCCAAAGGGAGAACTTCAACTTGATTAAAGTTCATATGTTCAGAGGACAGAGTTCATGGGCTAACTGCCAGAAAGCCGGAGTGGGTGGGGTGATCTGCCCTGCTGCCCAGATGGAGAGCTGCATTCTTTAGTGGTTAAGATTCTCCATTTTTTATCTCTTTAAGAGTTCTAGATGATGGCTCTCTGCAGGATTCCAACTGTCCGTTTAGATTACCGCTGCCAAACATCCAATATGTTGGATGCACCTTGGACACATCTATTATAAGGCCAGAATCAAAATACCGAGTGGGTCTGGAGCTATATTGAAGATACAGGCTTCTTTGTTAACCATTTCCTTTTATTCTTGGGAGAGAGGGGCTCCTACCTGTGACTGGTATATAAAAATAAACAAACAAACAAAATTAGGCTTTCGGTTTTTAAGTTTGCTTTTGCTTTTTTGTGTGTTGCAGTTAGAAATTTTTGTATTTTAAAAATTTCAAGACCTGATTCAATTCTTAAAGGTCTGAAAATCAATTGTGTGTGTGTGTGTGTGAGAGAGAGAGAGACAGAGAGACAACAGAGACAGAGAGACAGACATAATGCTGAAAAGACAATATATATTTCAGGCCACTGTGGCTTTTGAATTATTTTTATGTATAATTGATTTTTCTGTAATGATGTTTAAAACAATCACTGTAACAATTGTAGTACTTTTTTCTGTCCACTAACAAATAGTATCTTTGTGTGTGTGTGTGTGTGTGTGTGTGTGTGTGTGCGTGCGTGTGTGTGCTTTGAAGTACTTACAGATACTTTAATATTCCCATTTTAGTAATTATAATACTTTCCTTCAATCATGTGCCTCTCCTATCATAGCTGTAGATAATATGAAAGAATATTTTACATAGTATATAACATGGTATGCACTCACTCATTATTTGTGGGGGGGGTGTATTTTCAGGAAAGATACTTCTTTTCATTGCTGCTATATTTTCTGGAACATAGCTGTATAGTGTTACTGACATGTGTTTTATGTCCAGAAGGGTTCATTCCACACCGAAGTGACATCTTTGAGTGCATTGCGTGGTGGATACAAGCCTGGATTCATTTCTTGTTGGAGTAGTAATGGCGTTTATTTCTCTGAGGAGCAGGGCACAGAGAGGTGGAAAGGTTAGCAAATTGCTTTGGATTATATGTTTATAAGGGCCAAGCTAGCAAAGCATGAGCAAGTCCTTCTCACCAGATCCGGTCTGGATATCTGCCATAGCATGACTGTTTTCTTTTCCTGTTTGATGAGAGCATTGAGCAGTCTGGAAAGCAAGACAGACTTGAGCTTCTGAGTGTTCATTTCTCTTGATGCTGTTTTACAATGAACACCTGTCACTTCGGCAGGCTCAAGGTGGCTTCTGAGGAGGTGGGAAGTGACAGAGGTGGTAGGCCCCTCTCCCTTTGACTCGACTGGTAGTCCCAGGTGCAGTCCTCTGTGTGTGTGATCAGTGACCTTGTGGAATAGTGGGTGGCTGTGCCACGTTGCCCCTGTGGTTGGCAGCAGTTCTTTGGGAACGGATCTTGAAGACCTCTGTTGCCAGTACTAGTGTGGTGACTTTTCAGGGGCACACCTTTTCAAAAATGTCCTGTCAGAGTGACTAAATGTCTGCTGACAGCTCAGGTGGCTGAAGGCATAGCTCATGTTTCATTCATGGTTTGTATGTCTCCAATCTGACAAATTCAGAGATGCAGGAGACAGTGTAGATGAAGGGACCATGGAGTAGAAAAGTGTATGACAAAGACAGGGAATGCTGGAGACTCATGTAAAGCCGGGGCATCATTGTCTCACAGTCTCACACTTTGTCCAGGGTAGGAAGAGTCGAGGCAGAGGACAGGAGGAAATGGCTGCTGGCAGAAGGGTGAAGGCCAGGCAGGAGGGAAGGCTTTGGCAGCTTTTGAGAGTAGGAGATGCTAGCTGCCCTAGGCAGGTTATTTTGACCTGTTCCTGGGGTTGTTAGCTGGAAGAGAATTTGGGTCCAGCTTTTATGGTCTAGTAAAATTGTTATTACATGGGGTGGAGCACAGACATTTCACTAGGAGACACAGTTAGGTTTGTGATCAGAAAGAAGGAAAGGCAGGTATAGAAAGAAGAGGAAAAGACCATGGTTTGCTGGTGGCTTGCTGGTGGAAGGTAGAAATCCGATTGTGGGAACTTCGCTTTAGCTTGTTGGGGGCATCAAAGGAAAAACACATGGATAACCTCAGTGCTCAGACCAAGTAAGGAGACAGCAGAGTGTATCTGGGGTACAGTGTGCTTAGGGAACACTGAGAAGAGATGCCTAGGTCCCAGGTTCAGGGTGTTGTCTCTAGCCTATTGGTTTGATAGACAATGGGAGTTATGGGATATGGTTATCAAGGTATATGGACCATTTAAAAACTTGATTGCCGAGTAATACCCAAACATTTTATCTTTTGGTTCCTGTGAGTAAATTAGCTGCTACCTATAAGTAAGTGCATTTCAGAGTGGTAGCTGTGACCTGCATTTGATTTTCTTTCTTTCTTTTTTACGTTTAGTTAGTCAAGGGGAATCTTAATGTAGATTGAAATGTCAGTGTGCTCTTGGCTCAGCTCGGCTTCGTTTTCATCCCAGTCTGAGGCACAGTCTCAAGAGATCCCTCAGGTCTCTGCTCTCAGTGGGTAGGCACAGCGGGCCTTCCGTGGGGAGTCAGAGAACTCAGACTTTATTGTAAGATACTGGTGTAATAGTATACCAGGGACATCAATGCCCAGAGTAGGTACGTATGTTCTCAAGGCAAAAGTGAAATATTCCCTTGCCATCTAAATGAAAAGACTCAGGATCTGTTTTGCCAAAAATAAATCATATGACGATGAGCCTTTTGGTGGTGTCTGGAAATGCACTTTATGAATGAGTTTCTTAATTCTGCACACTAAATTAGTACAGTGATGTTCCTATCCAGAGAGATCTTAATGGTAAATCATCTTTAGCTTCATTAGAGAGCTTCCCAGCCTGTGCTGACTCAAATGTTTGTTTTGCAGTCTATCACCACAGCCAAAGAAAAATACTGTTTTTCTTAACTGTGTTAAAGATAAGGACATTATATGGGAAGATGCTAATGATTCGTATTTATGTAACTGAACATGGTGAAGCTGAAATTTGCACTCAGATTCTTGTGCCCATGGGTCTGGGCTGTGTCTGGAACCCTTGGAGGTTGTGTTTGTCAGGCAGGGAAGCCTCTGCTTTAAATGAGTTGACACTGGGTCAGGGCCTTCCGGAAGCTATGCAGTTGGATTGGGAACAGGACTTGAATTCTGATCCCTGGATCCCCTTCAGACTCTTAAGTAGATCATGTTTGTCTTGTAACTATAATTGGGTACTGATTTTAAAAGAAAAATCACGCATCTTAAAATGTATCGTATCCCTAAACATGTACAGATTCTCCACTACAGCACAGGGATTATCCTAAACACTGCCAAAGGAGGGACTGAAACACCCCAGCCATTCTCATGTTTCTAGAGGCTACAGCCCAAGAATGTGGCCAGGAATGGCTCCTTCTGAGGGCTTCAAGGAAGAATCTTTTCATGACTCTCTCTGCCTCCTATTTGTGGAAGATCATGGCTTATAGATTCCTCTTACTCCAGCCCCTGCTTTTGTGGCCAAGGCATTCTTGCTGTGTGTGTCTGTACATCTCTTCCTATAAGAACCCCCTTGCATATGAACATAAGTCAAGTTATTTGCAGTGACTCCAGCTCCATGAAGGTCATTCTCTAAGGTGCTAGGATTAGGAATTTCAAGTATGACTTCGAAGGGAGTGGGGAACACTGTTCAACAGTTGACACCATATCTTACTTCCATTCCAGGAACTGGTATGTACTAAGCTAGGCCAGCCATTGTTTTTGTGTTGCTGACTGGCCTGTGGCTATTTTGTAACATGATCAGAGCATGCAGCCAGGATAGTATCAAACTCTTCTGTGAAAAGTCTATTGGTGTTCTACTCAGTATGAAATCTGAGGTCAGTGCCACACTGTGGCAGGTCTAAAAGGAACTGGACAAGGATTTTTCCCCTTAAATTCTGTCTCTCAAACTCTTGTTTGAGGAAGTCATTGATTAAAACAATCACACTTTTATATACAAATGTGTATATTCGTGTGTATGTGCAGATGGTTTGGTTTTTGCTTCTGAAGTTCTTTGGTCAAATCTGTTTTTCATCATGGCCCCTTTGGTCATCTTGCAGTGTAACATGAATATTTTGGGCCATTGCCAATACTTTTAGGTATCTAAAATTTAGTTTTAATTAAAGTTTTTTGAGTCAGGGTAAGAAATTTCTGAATTATCGTTGAATTGAATTGAATTGTAGCAGTGTCTTGTTGGAATCTATGTGTATTTAGGCATAGGGAGGGGATATGATTAGAATTTCTTGGTTTTTGTTTTTGTTCCTTTTGTGGCTTGGTAGATCTGGAGGTTATTTCTACAGTCATACCTTATCTACAACTATTATGTCTCAGGGAAGCCATTATTTTTATTTTAAATAAGACTTGCATTTTACATTTATGCTTACATAGTATAGACTTTCTGTCTTCCTCCATCCCACCAATTCCTCTGTTGTTAATATTATACTTTATTGTATGATGTCTTACTATTAACTTAGCTGCACAATAGTTTTAAAAATTGTTTTATTAAAAGTTTTTTAGTATATATGTGTATCACTGTGTGGGTGTATTAGGGTTCTCTAGAGTCACTGAACTTATGGAATGAATCTTTCTATATAAAGGGAATATAGTGAAATGATTTACAAGCTTCAGTCCAACTAATCCAACAGTGGCGAGCTGTGAATGCAAAGTCCAAGAATCTAGTAGCTTCTCAGTTCCACAAGGCTGGGTGTCTCAGCTAGTATGTATGTGCTGGAATCCTGAAGAAGTAGGTCCGGTGCCAGTGAAGGAGTAGGCATGCTTACAAGGCAAGGGCAGGCTGGCAAAGAAGAAGGAAGCCAAACAGAAGGTGTGGCCTAGATTAAAGGTGTGTCTTCCCACCTCAAGATCTGGATGAAAAGCCTGTGTTTTCCTGCCTCAAGGTCGGGATCGTAGGTGTGTCCCCCATTTTCTGGATTGTAGTTCACTCCAGATGTAGTCAAGTTTACAGCCAAAAATAGTCACCGCAGAGGGTTTGTGAGTGCAGGTGTCTGTGGAGTTCAGAAGAGGGCCTCAGATCACCTGGATCTTGAGTTATAGGGCAGTTGTGAGCAGTCCGGTGCATTCTGGGAACTACGGACAATGTAAGCTTTTAACCAGCGAGCCGTCTCTCCAGCCCCTTCACACTGTTTTTTTTACTAGCTTTCCCTTCTTGTCTTTTCTCTGGTATTTCAGGGTGACCTGATTCACAATCCAGTCCAGGACGCAGTTAAAACAGAATTGAAAAGCAAGAGTCAGACGTTTTGTTTGGGTGTCCTCAGTCTTCGTGTGTATGGAGTTTTTATTTAGGGGTAGACGGAGATTGCGGGACTGTGATAACCCATGGAGGCCTTTCTCACATCAAGTACATGATCATTTGGTTGATGTGATACTGTTGAGAACAGGAGTGAAGATCACCTAGCTCTTTGCTCTGTCAGGTTTCTCCTGTGTCCGGTCCCTTCCCTCCTGCCTTCACACTCTCCCTCAGGCAGAGTTTTGCCAGGTGCAGCCACTTTCAAGGGTACAGGGAAGAGTCTGTGACTGGCACAATCGGAAGTACCATCTTTACAATAAAACATGTCGCTGTTCACTGTAGCATCTGCCTTTGTTTACTGTATAGGGTTCTGTGGGGTGAAGACAATTTAGGGCTGGTTTTTTCCTCTGACCTCAGAACATACATTCAGATTTCTGACTAGGTAAGGATCTACTCAAATATAACTGAATATTTTGACAAATAACAAACTAACCTAACATTTTGGCCATTTTTTATCTTGTACCTCTAAAATCGTGTATTGTTTGACATATTCTTTTTTTTTGGCATATTCTTAATATTAGAATGACATTTTCCTAATTTAGAACAATGTTACTACCTCACCAGATGCCCATGGAACTGAGTGTGGCTTGCTTTTCTTGTATTTTGGATCCTTTTTCCCATCTCCCCTCTTAGTTCCTGCCACTGTTAATTTGTCTGCTTCCAGCACTGTATTTCTAATTGTTTGTAACTCTCTAACTTACTGTGAATTTAGAATGCAGACTGCCAGGCTCCTATGGGACCTATAGTGTTAGACTATGTAGACTGAGTTGGTATGGGAAGGCTGGGACCAGGAACATGTGTGAACTGTGAGCACGTGTGAACGGTGGTCATGTCAGGACTTGATTGTTAGCATACTTACATACTTGCCCAAGGTTTCCTTCGCAATCTGCTGGCTAGTGGAACTTCAAGTTTGGCTGCGTTGTAATTGCAAAGAAGTCTCTTGTAAGTTGTTTTCTAGCATATACCTTAATCGAAGTGACACTGTGATACTTCCTGTTTAAATTCATGAAAGAAAAACAGATTTTGAGCATAGTGAGCTAAGATTTAATGTTTACTGAGATTTTAAAATGGCACATGTCATTTGTAGTAATTGCTTTTAAAAATAGTATTCCAAATACACGAAAATTGGTCTTCCTGGCTTCCTCGTGTAGGTCACATCCACTGCTTTGGAAATGACTAAAATACAGGCATTGGGCAGGCACTCTGGCTCAGCTGATTAAGGTACTTGTCACCAAGCCTGATGACCTGAGGTCTAAACCCAGAGGCCATGTATTAGGAGGAGAGAATAGTCTCTGTAGTTGTCCCCCGACTTCCCAGTGTGAATCCTGGAGTTTGCACATAGACACACGCATACACACCAAATCAATAAACATTAAAAGAAACAAACAGGCAAAAGGTATAATTTGAAAACAGAGTGAAGAAACAGCCAAAGCACTTGAGCACTTATTTTACTAATAATGCTTTACTGGTAGTGTTGACTGACATGTGGCTTTCACCATCTAGAGTAGTCGGCTACTGGATTGCCCATGGTGAGTGAGTGTGAGTGTATGCCGTAGCCTCGGCTGCAGTGGGAGATGAAAAGAATTGGAGTCTCCAGCCAGAACACAGGCAGAAGCCATCACAGAGCTGTTAGCATAACCACAGCACTGGGCATAAGGCGTTTATTTCAGGGGCAGCTTTAATCCATGGAGGAATCATCTTCTCTTGAGTCTACTGCTTACAGAGACAGTAAAGCCTAGTATAGAGCAGAGCTGAGCTGCTGCCGAGGCTACAGCTATGCAATTGGGACACAAGCTTTCCAGGAAGTTATTAATAATTGGTATCTGTGGGTGGTTTTAGGGAGATGCAAAGCAGGATAATAAGAGGGGATTTTAGTGGGTGATGGGGAAGAGTAGTGACATTTGTTTCTTCCAGACCCAGCATATTCTTTGCAGAGCTTTCTTTTAATTTGCAAGGTGGAAAGCAAAGCACCTTGGGAGTTTAAGTCTCAGGTGAAGTTAAGTTCCTGTATTCGGTGTGATTTCTAGCTCCTGGCTGCTCATGGGGCCCAGACTGTTGGAATAGATTACCTGCAGCAGATGTGAAGCTTGGAAATCTGGTTCCCAGTTTTCCTCCTAATTAATTAATTTTCCACTCATGTTAATGTTTAATTCATCCTTCGTTTCCCAGCCCAGGGCAGTTTACATGTGTCATTTACTACTCTCTAGAAGTCACACTTATGAATGGCATGTTTGTATTGCCACTTGAGGACAGTGATTTTTTTTATATGCTATGAATTAGTTTGTTTTCTGTTTGTCTTTAATTTTATGTCTCATAGTCTCTGCTATAGATTATTTTCTAAATTGTTACTTTCTTTACATGCAGTGGTTTACAATTTAATTTCCGTGCCTGTAATACCTCTACGAGATTTGCATTTTACTATTGTAAATTTTTTTTTCTGATTTGAAGGCAACATATTCACAATAACATTCAGCAAATACTTTTAAATACACTCAAAAATAGAATATAAGAAATATAATGTTAAATTATGTATAGCTACCTGCTCATTTTCTTCCTGTCTTCCTTTTTCCTCAGCTTACGACCCTGGGGAATCTCACACCACCAAGCACTGTGTTTTTCTGCTGTGACATGCAGGAAAGGTTCCGGCCAGCCATCAAGTACTTTGGAGACATTATTAGTGTGGGACAGAGACTGGTATGTTTGTGTGTCTGTCTGTCGGGTCCAGTTTGCTGAGGCACAATATGCATTGATATCGCTACTCAACACAATTTTTACACTTTTGTTTGGTACCTTTTCTTTCAGTTGCAAGGAGCTCGGATATTAGGAATTCCGGTTATCATAACAGAACAGTACCCCAAAGGTCTTGGCAGCACAGTGCAAGAAATCGACTTAACAGGTGTAAAGCTGGTTCTTCCGAAGACCAAGTTTTCTATGGTGTTACCTGAAGTTGAAGCAGCCTTAGCTGAGATTCCTGGTGTCCGAAGTGTTGTACTGTTTGGAGTAGAAGTAAGTACCCTCTTGGGTCTGGGGCATGTGTGGTCTTGTTTATAGGAAGCTAGTGACTTAAGTGGCACTGAGGGAAAATGGCCACCACTTGTTAGATGTCCTCCACCTTCACGGAACCAATTTCAGTGTCTTGTGGCTGTTGCCACCTTGAACTGTATGCCCGTTGTCTCCCAGGATCATGGATGAGAAACAGAAGTGTAACAGCGTGAGTGCCTTCTCTAAGGTCAGCCCACCAGTGAGGAGGCAACATCTGAATCTAGGCCAGTGATCTCCAGGTGTCCTGAGAACCACCTGCTTCAGTGTCCTGCGTTCTTATGTGTGATACTTTGGTTTCCTACAGACACATGTGTGTATCCAGCAAACAGCCCTGGAGCTGGTCGGCCGAGGCATTGAAGTTCACATCGTTGCTGATGCCACCTCCTCAAGGAGCATGATGGACAGGATGTTTGCTCTCGAGGTACTTGTTCTACTTAAAGATAAGTTGTTCATCTAGTTTTCTGAAAAATTGGGAATCTTGAATGTTCATCAGTCCCTAATAGTTTGCATTTTAAGCCGATGTTTGATCTCAGTGTATCAGGACCATTACTTCTTAGAGAAATAGTTCTGCACTCCTTAACTGACCTGTCAGGTACCCCCTTTACACTTTTCCCTGGGATTAGATTTCTAGAGATGCCAAAATTTCCTTGACAGTTTTTTGGTCACCTTACCTTAGTGTTCAACATGGATTAGACATGTCTCAAGTAGCCAGGACTGAATTTTACAGAATGGCAAAGTAGACACAGTTCATACAGGTTACCAAGCAACATGTATCCCCAGACTCTGGCAGAATGTATCAAAGCCCAAGTCAGCCTTGTGTAAGTGTCTGTAGGCATGATCTACGTGTTGCTTCCTGGCTGACACTGGATCAGCCGTTCTTTCTCAGTGTTGCCTAATAATCACCTGATCTAAGTCCCTTCTGTTCAAGACTGTTCAGGCTAGCACATAGTCCTGGGGAGGGTTTTACTCCAGAAGGTGTGTATATGTATGTCACTTTCATACATAATTTTAATTCACTAATAATTTTTAATGTATATATGGATTTAATTTCTGAATTGTTAAACTACTTATTTTTATTGAGAATAACAAATGGTTTGCAAGATGACTCAGGGTAAACGAGCTTGCTGAAGAAGCCTGATGCCCTGAGTTCAATTCCTGAATTTTACCGTGAAAGGGAGGAAGTGACTCCTGAATGTTATCATCTGACCTCTGCATGCATGCACCTATGTGCAGTCATGTACACACACACACACACACACACACACACACACACACACACACACCCCTAACATATGTGCGGGCATGTACACACACATACCTAACACATGAGCAGGCATATACACATACACACCTAACACATGTGTGGGCATGTACACACACATACAGACACACCTAACACATGTGGGGGCATGTACACACACACACACACCCCTAACGCATGTGCGGGCATGTACACACAGATACACACCTAACACATGTGGGGGAATGTATACACAGACACACACACAGACACACACAGACACACACACACACACAGACACACACACACACTAATAATAAAGTAAAAAAGGAATTTAGAAGAAATACCGGAGGGTTTATTGTTGTTGTGAGATCATGCAGTACTCTGGATACCGACTGGCTTGTGCATTGCTCTTTGTTGGGACTGCATCAGCTCTGTAGCCTACAGTGCCATCAAGTGTGCAAAAGGAATGGATGGAAGAGGAAAGGCCACGGGTAGCAGGTCATAGATAGCAACATCTGGTCAGCCTCCCTTCTTGGTTTTTCCCTAAAGAGTGGAACACCTGTTGTGATTACAGATAGAAGTTAGCTGTTTTTATTTATTGGAGTATTTATGCTTATATTTGAGAATTTCATGCAGTATATTTTGAGCATATTCAACCCTTTCCAATGCCCCGCCCCTTACCACCCTCTCCACCTTGCATCTCTTCTCATCCAAATCTGAGATTACTTTTTCTTCTTGTTTTTAAGTCCTTTCCGATCAAGTTTAGTTTGAATTGCTCAGCTGGGGTCTTGGGTTTGAGTCCAGCCCTGCAGTGTGGTTGGATAGCCTAACAGGCCTCATATCCTTAAAAGAAACTGACTTACCTTGTCCTTGGTAACTATCAAATGCCAGTGTCTCCTCCGCTGTTTGCTGTTTGTGGGATTATGTGTTCCCCTCCCCCTCTCTATGTATAGTCTTGTGTATGGTACTAAATAATCGCTCTGAGATCACATGTGCACTCGCCCTGTTGTGCCTAGACAGTACTGCTTCCCTGAAGCTGTCTGCCACTCCCCACTCTTCCAGTCTTCCCATCTTTTTCCTCAAAGACCCCCGAGCCTAGCGGTGAGGGGTGTGACACCATTGTCTAATAGGTAGAAGTTTATTTTGTTAAGCCACTCAACCACTCATTTTCAATGAGTGCATCGAAAACGTTGCATTTTCTGGCTTTTAATAAATGGTGCTGCTTCTCATCACAACCAAGATCTGTGGGCTATTTGTCAGTCATGAGTTCATTACCATCCATTTTTCAAGCTCCTTTATTAACCTGAGGGTTCACAGCTCCACTCAGGTCAGCCTTCCCCCCAGCAAGTGGCTGTCTTCATGCACCTTCACTGGAAACTATTGTCATGGTAATGCCCAGACTTTGAAGTATTTCAAAGGAATGAAATCCATGTAAACAAAGCAAAGCCATGTTTTCTGTGAAGATATTTCCAGGACTTTCCTTCTACGTTCATATGAATTTTATTGGTTTATTCCTCTCATACAGTGCATCCTGACCAGAGTTTCCCCTCCCTCCATTCCTCCCAGTCCCTCTGCCCCTCCCCTAGACCTTCCCATTTCCTTTCAGAATAGAGCAGTTCTCCCAGGGATACCCACTGCATGCAGGACAAAGAGTTACAGCAAGACTAGGAGCAACTGCTTGCTCATATTGGGGCTGGATAAGGCAACCCAGGAGGAGGAGAAGGGTCCCATCAGAGGGAGAAAGAATCAGAGACACCCCTACTCCCACTGTTAGGAGTCCAACAAAAGCCCCAAGCTAAACAACCACAGCATGTATGCAGAGGGCCTCATGCAGACCCATGCAGGCTCCATGGTTGCAATTTCAGTTAATATGAGCCCTGCTTAATTGGTTCTGTGAGCCTGAGACATTCTAAAAAACGACAGAAAAAGCCTGATCTTTTGCATGAACACAGAAGAGCCTGCCTGGATTAAAGCATCAAGGTCAGGAGTGGGGAAATGACCACAGCAGGTCATGTGACGGTGTGCAGTGCCTGCAGGTGAGGTGAGGTCATGACTGTGCAGTGCCTGGCAGTTTGGAGGTTGCTCCTCTTCGTGGCATCATTCTATAGAGATCATGAAGTTCGTCTCTAAAGTTTTGGGTCAAATGCTTTTTTATTCTGTGTAAGGAAAGTTAGCAGCGACATGACCAGCTCCTTTTCTTCTTTCTTCCCTCAGAGCAGAATTACTTCAGATAGTCCTTATCTATACTGCCTGTTGACTTTATTTCACTTGCAAGATGTATAGTTAATAAGCATGAGGCCTGTGGCATGCACTTTATTCACTGGATGTTTCCTTGTATGTACTGACATCTGTTGGGCTGTGTCACCTTGAAGTAAATACTTGTTCATAATTGCATGATAGATTGCTGTACCACCATATACCTGCCTGATTTTGTCTATCTCAGAAGAATTGCAAAATGGACGGAGTGCACCCTCTCTTGAACTCGATGCCCCTGCAGTTTTGGTTTGCTGGGATATGAAGTGGGCTCCATTCCTGACTTAGACAGTTTTAGGTGTATACATCCAGGAACCTCCCTTAGTTGGGCTGACTGTGCAAGTGTAAGGAGGGATTTTCCAAAGCCTAATGCCCCATTTTACCTCTGGAGAGAAAGTGGGCTGAGGCTAAGTATGATCAGGAGTGGGCTGAACACCACAAGCTGTTGCTAGTGTCTGCTCAGCTTCCTCCCAGGCTGGGGAGCGAAAGCTCTAGGACACACCTGGGAGCCTGTTCTAATAGCTTTGCATTTTCTGTACCACACCTTCCTTCTCACGTGCGTTCTTTGCTTAGTTATTTTTAAACCCTCAGTTTTGAGATAAGTAACACTGTACACCCCAGTGTGACCCAGCTTCTAGCGCCACCAAAGATTATTAGGGTAGACACACAAGACTCTGGTTCATATAGCACTAGAAAAAGCCCTGGCCTCTTCCAAGTTTCCCACAGCAGATGCTTCTGGGGATAGCTTGTGCCTTTTACCCTGGAGTTTGTGACTATTGATTACTATAGAGAGTGGACCTTTGCTGTGGGATTCTCTCCCCCAACCCCAAACTCCTGGCCTCACCTCCCCCCATCCCCTGATCCTTGAGTTTCTATGGTTCTGCTGGGGCAGCTTGGCAAAGTCATCGTGTCAGAAACAGTCCTATTGTAGAGCAGTGGGCCTGGGGGAGGGAGAAATACCCATGATGGGTTTGTGACACATGTGGTTTTGAAACTTTTCTCTCTTATAGATTTATTGCTATGACCAAGAGCCATTGTTATAGAGGAGGACCTTAACTATTGTCCTGGCCACTTCCGCTGTTTTTTAAATGATTTCCATTTCCTAGCTCACTTCTTATCTTTCTCTTTTCTAGCGTCTTGCTCGAACTGGGATCATTGTGACCACTAGTGAAGCTGTTCTGCTACAGCTGGTGGCTGACAAAGACCATCCGAAATTCAAGGAAATCCAGAACCTAATTAAGGCGAGTGCCCCTGAGTCTGGTCTGCTCTCCAAAGTATAGGGTCCTTGAAGGATCGGGATCCTCGATGGAACTGCAAGCCAGACAACCTCTTGTCTCTGCTAAAACTAAAACATTAAGTCAACTGCAGCTCCTCCTTTGCAGCTCTTAGGAACATTTAACTGGCTAGACCATTGGGTACAAGCATTTAGTTATGATGTCAAGGCTTCAGGTGCTGCTTATCTTCTTTGTTTCCTAATGGGCTTTTATTTATTAAGACAAATTACAATGGAGGTGCCTGTTTCATCTACACCATGTACTCCAACCATACCTTTCGAAAGTGCTCCCTCTGGTGAAGCTTTCTTAAATTGTGCACTTTACAGAAAACAAACAGAAACATCTACCATAATCATTTGACTTTTCTGTTGTGGTGAAACATCTGTTGTAACGTCAGTGTAGACCCAGTGTTTTCACTTCACACAGGCTGACTGATGCACGATTCCCAGGTGAGAATTGACAAAACAGGACTCTGCATTGTCTCCTACTTCTCTGACAGTGTAGAGCTGCTGACTGAGAGAGGTGCTTTGGGTCAACCAGAACAGATGAACTATTGTGTATCTGTCTCGATGGTACTGCTTTTCTCATTCCTGTTACCATCTTTGTGGATTTTCTTCCCCTGGCTAACGGTCTACACTGACTTCTTCTCCCACTGGATGTTTTACATCCCCATTGGTTATTTTAATTTTGTGAACAGATGCGAGTGGCCCTAACATATTGCCTTTACAGTCTTTTTGAGTGCATCTTTCCGTATACATGGGAGTTAGTGGAGAAGTAAACACGATGTAAAATGTAGTTTTACATATTCCCATATTCCCCTTTGTATCTTCTCTCCCTGCTGTTCAAATGCTGTTACTGCTGACGTCATCAACAGTGACTCAGTGGGGGTAGGTAATACTATGGCCATTGTTAACCCATCAGTAAGTTTATTCTCATTTAATACTTATTAGTGCTTAAAAAACTTTTTAGAGTGTGTTGTGATATGTGGAACATTATTCTCTTTGTATTAAATTAAAGAAAGTATATTATGTGGGTGAAATTGTTTTGTTGCCCATGGCTCCACGAGTACTAGTCAAAGAATTCTAGTGACTTTTCAGAAGTAACAGATTTTACAGATTCGTAATCCTACAGCTCATGTCACTGGAGGAGAATCCCTTGCAGCCCAGACTGATGGAGTTGTTACAGGGCCTTCCTGTTGCAGCCATAGAAATGTACTTTTTAGTTTGAGCCTTGGCAAGATACTACAGCCTGACTTCTTCATGGTGTGCTTAGATGTTTGGTTGGTTCTCAACCTGTGGGTCCCAACCCCTTTGGGGGTCAGATGAGCCTTTCACAGGGTTCAATCATCAGATAGTCTGCATATCAGATATTTATATTATGATTCATAACGGTAGCAAAATTACAGTTATGAAGTAACATTGAAAATCATTTTATGGTTGGGGGTCACCACAATATGAGGAGCTATATGAGGAGCCTTAGGGAAGGTTTCGAACCACTGTTCTAGAAAATCAGTGCAAAGAAACATCATATAGTTATCTACATTTTAATAGTGCTTTCCATACTTTTATTATCTGGAAAGCTTGTGAAAATACTGAGTTGAGCTTTTTTCTAAATTTAAATTAAAAAAAAAAAAAAAAGTCATTGCCACCAGTGAAACAAAGATTCAATTTAGAACAGCTTCCTTCCCTTGTATCCAAGCCTCTCCCATCTCAGAAACACTGTGCCGTGAAGCATCCTCACAGCTGAAGCCAGCTATGTGACCTTGGATTTGTGTCCTGTGACTTCCCTACCAACATGCCACAGACTCCATGTCTTACAGCCATAGCCTGTTTTCTTCTCAACTGTGGTGAGGCCTAGAGCTCACTGTGCTGAGATCAAAGCTTGTATTAGAAAGCTATGATCTTTCCTGGAGCCTGCATGGAGGGTGATCTGTATCCAACAGCTCCATCTTCTACAATCTACTAGTGGTTTTTTGGTTTTGTTTTGTTTTGTTTGTTTGTTTGTTTGTTTTGCCCCATTACGACCATCTTCTCAGGCAACAGTGTGGTTCTGGTCCTTGGGTCCCTGTCTGACTTTCTTGTTATGCCTGACCTAAGATCTCATGTGGTTCCAAGTTCCCAGTTAGCAACCTTATTCCACCTGCAGCCTTAACACCCTTTGGCCATTTAGCACGGTTCCAGGCTCCAGGGATAAAGACATTAGTATCTTCCAAGGCCATTCTCTTCTTGCAGGTATCAGCTAGTAAATGTGAGTTGAATTAATTAAATTGTATCAGGTCCAAATTGGAAATACTTGGAGGCTCAGAACAATTGTGAGCTCTGTCTTCTTTCTTCTGTTTTGTGAATCATGTGAGAAGGTGGCAAAGCTTTTACTTGTTGATTATAGGAAAACTGAACTGATTGTAATACATTAAGCTTTGGAACAGAAGTGTCCATGACTCTGTAGGATGATGAAATCCTTTTCATTGACATAAATAAAGAAATAAGGATGAAAACAAGAATGATCTGGTGTATTGTATTTCAAGGGGCCTGGGAGCAGCAAGAGGTACCTTGTGGAAATGCTCAGCATCTGTGCAAACTTAATCTACAATTAAGCATTGTCTGCTTGTTTTCTGGTCTCTGGCAGTGACACAAGCTATGGATATCAACATGGCCTCAGGTGGCAGCAGCACATATTCCGATAGTAAACGTAAATGTCAAAAAACACACAAGCTGACTGACTCAATCAAGGAACAAAATCCATCTATGTGTTGTCTACAAGAAACACAGCTTTAAGATAGACACTGTCCCAAAGGACAAAAATACTCCATTCAGATAGGACCAGAAAAGAAGCAGACATTGCCCTCATTATCTAACAAAACAGACTTCAAGACAAAACTAATTAGAAGAGATAAAGAGGGACACTTCATTTTAGTTAAGGTAACAGTTAACCAAGATGACATTACCATCCTAAACATATATGCATCAGATTCTAGTGTGCCCAGTTTCATAAAAAAGTGTGCTACTAGATTTAAAGACAGATGATGATAACACTCCACTTTCCAAAAGACAGGTCACCCTGTACAAAACAAAAACAGAAATGCCAGAATTAAATGGCATCAAATGCACTCTACAGATATCTACAGAATTTCCCACCAGACACCACATAATACACATTCCACTCAGCAGCATATGGTAGGTTCTCTCAAACAGACCACATCCCGATATACAAAACAAATCTTTACAAGTTCAGATGGAAATAGCCTGTATCCTATCTGAATATAATGTAATAAAACTTAAGTTGACAGCAAAAAAACTCTAATAAGTTCACAAACTCATTGAAAGTAAACAATTCATTACTATATGATGAATGCCAAAGAGGAAATCAAGAAAGAAAGGCTTTTGGAATGGAATGAAAAGGAAAACAACATAACAGAACCTCTAAGACATACTGAAAGCATTTATGCCTCTCCATGTCTACGTTAAAAATCAGAAAGAGCACAAATAAATGTAATGATGCAATTTAAAAATTTGGAAAATAATCCAAACTGAAGCCCAATTAATACCAGGAAATAATAAAATCAGAATAGAAATTAATAGAAAAGTCAATGAATCTAAGTGCTTGTTCTATGAGAACCTGCAGATAAGTGTAGTTCTCGCCCCTCATCAAAGGAAATTTCTCTTTGTAACAGGTGGAGATCATTGCAGAAATCTATAGCCAATTCTGATGCAGTGTTGTGGAGCCCAGCCTTAATGGGTACATCTACAGTACAACTCCCAAACCTAAGTTTCAGGGATTGTTGGGGAAGAGGGGCTATGCAAAACTGTAAGAGCCAGAGGCTCAGGGAGTTTGCTGGGATATTGTGACACCTAGGAGTACAAGAAATGTTATCTACAAAAATCTCACCAACATGACTGCCTACACATGAGCATAACAAGGACAACAATACACATGAGAAGGTGCATGAGGGGAATCCCATGATCCCCTCTGTCCTATACAAAGAATACTGAAAGTGGTAGAGGCCTTCCTCGGGGAAGAACACAGCAGTTGGTTATCCGATACCAAATTGTCAGATTCAGAAACATATAAGTAACGTTATACCAACTTAGCAGGTTGTACTTAGGTATTTAGGGACATGTATGTTATGTATGTAAAAGGAATTAATTTAAAAAAGTGGCCATGAATAACAAAGAGGCATATATGGAAGGGCTTGGAAATGTAAGGACAAAATGATGTAATTATGATATAATTACAAAAACTAAATAATTTTAAAAGGGAGCAGCTGAGCTTTTCCTGACAGATGGCGCTAAGTGTGAAAAGGCTTCTACTACAAAGAAGACTTTGAAGATGGAAGAGTAAAATGTGACCCTTCAGTTTGGTGACCCTCAGCAGAGACAGGTAGATCTCTGAGCTTAAGGTCAACCTGATCTACATAGTTCCAGGATGAGGGGGGAATGTGGTGGTTGTCCTGATGGGCTAGCAGCCTCCTAGGTAACAATTGGTTGGGAAGCTGGGCCCTTTGTTGAACCCCACAGAGTCTTAAATTTCTCTGGAGGTACTCGGAAGGAATTTCGTCCTTGGAAACTAGAAACTGAGGCAGGTCTGCTTGGTACTTTGATGTCTCTTTCTGAGACCTGAGCAGATAATCCAGCCTTTCTCAGTCAGATTCAGTTTGGGAGTTTGGGAAGTTGGGAATGACCCCTGGAGTCAACCTTTATACACTAGCCACTCTCTGAGGCCTTGTATAATTAGGAATGTTTGGTGGCATGAAACTGGCAATAGGAAGAGGCTAGAGGGTAAGGAAGACTAAGTGAGGGGCCTCTTAACACTGTTAGGAAAGATTTCCAGGTATAGTCTTTTGGGGGAAAGGATGCTTAATAAACTCATCCATCCCCCAAAGTAGTCTGGGTGGAACTGTGCCTCAGTTTGTCATTGGGACAGAGGAACAGACAATGCTTAGTCTAGTCTGGAATGGAATTTCAGCAACAGTGGGTATGTACACATGTGTGTGCTGGTGTACTGGTGCCAGGGGAGTCCAAAAGAGGGTGTGGGCTCCCCTGGAGTTGGAGTTCCCAATGAGTCAAAGCTGCCCCATAAAAACCAAGCTCAGAGCTTCTGTAAAAGTATTACATACTCTTAACCACTGTGCCATCTCTCCAGTCCCTGAAAAGAGAGTTTGGTGTTTCTAGTTTTTCTTCAAGTATCTTTTATCTCATAACAGATATCTGCTCTTTGCCAGCAATACATTGATTTGGACTTCCTCCTTAGTGTCATTCTGTTCATATACGTTAGCTTTATTAAGTTCAATAAACTCTTGTGTTCCTGGTTTGTTCTGTGACAGCAATGTCTTTATTATTCTAAGACCATCTGCCCTGTTAATCACATGATTGTTATCATAAAGAAAAGCCTAGCAGATTATATGATATCGGTGTTATTTTGCTGTTTTTATTATCATAACAGTGAGGAAAAGGAGGAAGGAAACAAAAAGCATGTTGTCAGCAGAAGAAAATTAGCCCTGTCTCTTCTCAATTAACTACCAGTTTGTTTCCAGGAGTCTCATACCACATTCTGTTAATAATACAGCAATTTCTCTGTTAGGCTAGCTTTCTGTATTTTTCATTGCATAAAACAGTCAAGTTGGAACACACCTGTCATAGAAGAAGCTGCGCGTCTTAATGTAATTGTTAGTTGTACTATATATTTTCTTGGCTTCAGATCTATTCATTGTTCTTGCAGCTGTTCCCTTGCTCAACTGTTCCTCCCACTGCAGACAGTAAGTGCAAGAAATTGAGGTGATGTGTCTCAGAACCTATACTTAATACACAGGCATCCACTGCTAATATATATTGAATGTGTGCAGCTTTGAATTGAGTCTTTGTAAAATGCAATCTTTGTTTTTGAAATAGCCCATTTGGCAACCCCATAAAAAATATGGATTGCTTATAAATTAAGATATTGGAAATCTGGGGGCTTTTTCTCTATAAATGAAGACCCTAGATACATGAGATAGATGAATGAAGAATGCAGACATGTTTGCTATTTCTCAAATTTTAGTATCTTTTGCATTATATGTATGTCTTTATCCTTTTTGCCTTGTGAGGTCAGCTAGACAGGGGCATCTTAAATAGAAAATTGAATAACAAACAGGAGTGTCTCAAAGATGAGTGACACCCTTTGTCTCCAAAATCAAAAATAGAATCACTGAAGGACAAGATGAAGAGATTTCCCTTCTCATGCTGGAGGAGATGTCAGTGATCCTTTGAAGGACTTCTTTTAAATTTATTATTTTTTCTTATTTTGCACATCAATCCCAGTTCCCTCTCCCTTGCTCCTTCCCATGCCCCCCCACCTCCACTCCAGTCCCATTTTCCACCCACTCTACAGGGAGGGTGATGCCTTCCAGGAGTCATCAAAATCTGTCAAGTTATTTGGAGTAGGGTCTAGGCCCTCCTTCCTGTCTCTGGGTCAAGGGAGTATCTATCCATGGAGAATGTGCTCTCAAAGTCCTTTTGTGCACCAGAGATACATCCTGGTTCTACTGTCTGACGTCCCTTAGACTGCCCAGGCCTTCTAACTAAGACCCATGTTCAGGGGTCTGAGTTGGTCTAATGCTGGTTTTCCACTAACTTATATGCTATCCTTTGAAGGATTATTAACTGAATGCACTATAATTCCTGAACCTTTTTAATAGCCTTCAACAGTTGAAAATTTTGTTTTCAATTGAAAATAGGTTTTTTTTCTTACAATATATTCTGATTACCATTTCCCCTCTCCCAACTCCTTCCAGATCTGTCTTGACTCAACTCTCTACCCACTCAAATCCACACCTTTCATTCTCTCTAGTTAGAATGCAAACATGTATCTAAAAATGATGATAAAATAAGATAAATAAAAACAAGGTAGAATATGACAAAGCAGACATACCACTAGGAGATACATAGCTAAAGAAAAAGCACACAAACACACACACACACACACACACACACACAGATGCACATTCACACAGGTGAAATCTCACAAAAACCAACATCAAAACTATGATATATCCACAAAAGACATGTAAGGGGAAAAAATAGCTAAATAAATAAAAATAATGCCCAGACAAAACATTATGAGACAAGGAACTTCAAGAATGCCATTGATTTCATTTTGTGTTGATCATCTACTGTGGGGCATGAGGTCAATTCTTAAGTATGGTTTGTACACCCGGTGAGACTTCCTTGGAGAAAACAAATTTTTCCTTTGCCAGTGCTTGTCTATTAAAGATAGCTTCTGGGTTAGGGATGGGGGTTTGTGTCCACTTCTCTAGCACTGGGATTTTACCTGGCTTGAACCCGTGCAGTCCCTGTGCATGCTGCCAGTCTCAGTGATTGATACGTGTGTCGATTCTGCTGTATTTGAAAGGCCTTCTTTCTTTGGTGTTGCCACACATCACTGTCCCTCCCCATCCTTCCACCTCCCCTTATGTAGGGTCCCCTGACCTCTGTGGGGAGGAATTTGATGGGAACGTCTCATTTAGGA